TGTGTGTGTGTGTGTGTGTGTGTGTCTGTGTGTGTGTGTGTGTGTCTGTCTGTGTGTGTGTCTGTCTGTGTGTGTGTCTGTCTGTGTGTGTGTGTGTCTGTGTGTGTGTGTGTCTGTCTGTGTGTGTGTCTGTCTGTGTCTGTCTGTCTGTGTGTGTGTGTGTGTGTATGTGTGTGTGTGTGTTTGTGTTTGTGCTTGTGTTTGCGCGTTGTTGTTTGTCTTGGGGCTTTTATCTTCATGTCCCGAACAACCGAGCCATCAACATTGCAAACAAAACACCGAGCTTCAATCAAAGTGCTGCACAGCAAGACGAGATACCGGTCTCTCACACAGGCCTGACCATAGGCAGTCCACCAGAAGCTTCCTCCAAAGCCTGCATGGTATTTACTTGCAACAAGCCGTTGCAGATCCACGGCACCGGGGCGCTGGCAGCAGTAGGATTCTGCTTCTGTTTCTCCTTTTCGGTCGGATCCTGGTATCTGTTGTGTCCAGGAATCGAGTTTGAGTTGCGGCGAGCTGCATGTCCGCTGCACCGCCCGCACTCCCCACCCCCAAGATGCCAGCATCCGAAGATGCAAGCCGAGACTCGTAAACGTTGCCGTGAGTCTTGTCATATTCCTCTCAAGCATGGCGAAACAAGGAAAGGCCCTTGTGCCGGACTGCTTCATGCCTAATGCGTAAGCAAACAAGCTGTTGAGCCATGTCTGACAAGCTCTAATTTTTCAAGGGTTTAGGGGAAGTGAATGAAGCATTGGTTGAAGTCCTTCATGACCTTCTTCAGCTCTTCCGTGTAGCGTCCCATGGATGACTTCATCGCTCCCATCTGAGCAAACAGCTTGCACGTGATCACCCTTGCACACCAAACAATTTCTAGTGGCCTGTGCGAGAACGCCAGTATCACCGTTTTTTGCACGTGCCTGAGATTGGCAGACTGAAACTGCGCGAAGCGATGCAGCTGGGGCGGCCTGCATCTCCTCTTCGAGCCACTCCTTTTGGTGATTCGAAAGCTCCTTCTGTTTCTCCCACAAGAAGGCTTGCCTGTCCTGACAGCAGGCAAAGCAGAGCAAACTAGACTCGCATATTCCAAACCCTCGTCCTTGGCAGCTCGTCTGTTTCGTTTCGCAATTTCCGCGTCTTGCTGATTCAAGGCTTCCTCGGCCTCGTAAGCGAAAGCGCTCTCCGAAAACCGACGGGAGAGGAGATCAGGCTTCTGGGCCCAGGCCTTCTTGTCGCATACGGTATTTGCATCAGACGGACTGTCGATGTCATTGGTGTCTGCAGTATTCACCTTTGGATATGGCAACCAGCGAAACGTAGTTTGTCAAGGTCGCGAATGAAAGCACGACGGTAGGGCTAACATAGAGGCTGAAACCAGTTGAAATACCAGGCACAGTGAAAGCTTACGAAGCTCACGGGACAACAAGGACACTCAGAAGGCTTTTGAAGCAAAAAAGCTGTCACACTGTAGACACGTCAGACAGATCTGCGGACACCTTGACCCGCACCGCGTGTGAACGAATTTGCCACGGCTAGTGTGCTAGATTGCATGCCTGAGCCTCCGGCATTGCCATAGCCAGCCAGCAGCGCCAAACCAGCATCCGCCTGGAGTCTGCGACTTGCAGCAGAAATCTTCGAGACAACAAGATGTAGTGCACACGGCATCGTCCCCCTGTCGTGCCTGCTCCTTCGGAACCACCCCAACACAAGCCAACATCGCGGATCCCCATTGCTCCCAGCCCTCCTAGGCTCCCCAAAAGTATGCAGGCACCTTACTTTGCGCCCTAGATCGCAGCGAAGCTTGCAGGTTTCGGGGCCTTCTCCGCACAAAAGCAAAATTCAGTGTTCAAGTGTTCAAGGAGCAGAAGAGTGATCGGATCATACCATGCGCATGATTTGTCGATCCTTTGGTCCTCTCACATCGCCCTGTCAGAGCCAACCCGACTTTCCCCCAAAACCCGGCCCAACTGCAAGCTTGCATCAGTCTGCCCCACAACAACACCACCCTGACTTCACCCTCAGCAAATTTCCGCCTGCTTAAGTGCTCCCACGTCGTTGCCGCCGTCTCCGCACATCAGTACGTGCCTGGCCGCAGAATGCACACATGGCCGACATGCAACCTTGCGAGTGGGGCTGTGGAGGCCTTGACTGTTTCTGCAACTCTTCGATGATCTTGGCCTGTCCAAGGTCAGCCGATCCTGTAGTGGCAAACACGTCGCCTGGCACAAGTGCCTTTCCCTGCGGTGTCATTCTGGCGAAGACTCGAATCTCATCAATCTTTGCCCAAAGGGCAGGCCTTGCTTGGTTCGAATGCCGTCGTGCAACGCCGGCATGCGCACTCAACAAGGGCATCGCTCCATGGCAACGGCCGCGTCCAACGCCTCTCCTGTGAAGCTACAAAATGACGCAAGGCTGTTTGCGGCTGGTTTCTGTTGATTGCAACCGGGAGGCAGTGGCGCAAATGAGAAAGATTGAGCCATTTTTGTGCAAAGCTGTATGGGATCAAGGGTCTTGGAAGCAAAGCTTAGCGCCCGGTAGCCGATCCCTTGGAGGGTAGCGCTAAGGCAAGTAAGGAAGGCACGCAGGCGCGCAGCTGAAGTTTCTGCAGTGCAGCGTCGGCAAGTGGTAAAGCGACAGACACCCATTACAATCACTACAGCCCAAAAGCCCAAGAACCCCGGCCGCAGCGTTAGGGCGAGGATGGGATCTTTGGTGGGAACCCCGCCTTGGAAATCGCAACAAAGGACAGGGTAAAGGGCAAGCAAAAGGGCCTGGCCTGGCCTGGCCTGGGTGGCCTGGCCTCGCCTCGCCTCGCCTCGCCTCGCCGGGTCCCAGACGTTCTTCCAGCAAGCATCGGCAAGCGGGCTGACGATGGCGGCAGCAGCCAGGATCGCATTCGGAACGGAGTGTTGTTCGCTGTTGCGTGGAGGGTACATGTAATCAGTTTGCCTAGAGTCCGCCTCCTGCAGTTATGCACTGCACATAGAAATTATACGACCATACATAAACTCTGTGTGTAGATAGATAGATATATATATATATATACACATACACATAGATTTATACACAGCAACTGAGTGTACACTATATGCTTGTACAACTCATCATAATGATATGCATATGCATATATATATATATATATGCATGTGTGAGTTCATGTCTTTATACATATGTACAATTATATATATGCACACATATGTACATATATACATATATTTATACATATATATATATACATATACATATACATATACATATACATATACATATACATATACATATACATATACATATACATATACATATGCAAATACATATACATATACATATATTTATACATATACATATACATATACATATACATCTACATCTACATATACATNNATATGTACATATATACATATATTTATGCATTCACTTATTGATGGACTATGTGAGCGTCTACTCTCTCCCCGTATATATGCACATACATAAGCTTTGTACACACATATGGATAAAGAGCTATACAAATACATGAATTTTCGTATATACAAATCGTGTGCGAATATGCATTATCACATATGGATGGATGGATGGATGGA